AAGTCAATTTTTTAAAAAATTCCAATAGATGGGTTAGAAGATAAAAGGAGAAAAATTCAGATAGTGTAGCAAAAAGACAGAGGTCTGACTACATAAAAATGAGCAAAGAAGAAGGCTCTGATCAAATGTGTGACAAAGGAGAGAATCTGAAAAAGAGGAAAATATAGTGGAAGAAAATATCCATAAAAAAAGAAGTCACTTTCCAGAACCAAAGTGACTTCAATGAACATGTGTATGAGTAGCCAGACACAATAAATAAGACCCACACCAAGGCACAATTTCAAAATACCAAAAGAAGAGCAGTTCTCAATATGTTATAAGGCAGTATACTAAAATGTGTACAAACATTTTAAAATCACATTCAAGGGCCAAATGATGCTGGCAAACACATCAACAGAGCTAGAGCTAGAAGACAGTAAAATAATGTCTTTAACATTCTGAAGGAAAATGTTTTTCATACATAAATACTATACCCAGCCAAACTACTAATTAAATGTGAGGCTAGAATAAAGACATTTTTAAGTTGGCAAAATCTCAAAAAAGTAACCTTTTTCTACAAGATTCCATATTTTTTTGCTGCCAATTATTTCCTTACTTTGGCCTTTACTTACATGACTTACTAGGTTTTGGAGGCATTTCCCTCTTCCCTATCCCCCATATTCTATTTCATAAGCTAAACTCCATCTCACCATCCTGTAAAGTCTAGTTTTAAGCCACCTCATCCAAGAAGGATTTTCTGTTCCTGCCAGCAGGGTGCAATCTTTTCCTCTCAGGCTCACAGACTCTTTTCCAGGGAGGGACTTGTGTTTTACCTCTAATCAGCACTCTTTAAAGCCAAACTATACTCCCTAAGCCACCAGTAGCAGTTTTCTGCAGGCAAAAGACCCCCTGTTTCTTCTTCATGGCTCTGTCCTTTCAGTCCCTCTACTCAGCAACTGTGACTAATACAAATTCTTTAATATGGCAGCCACTCACTGATAAGAGAACAACAAACTATTTCATGTTAATCCATTGTACAAAGGATATAGCACTGAACTAGTTCATCTCTCTGCCAATCCCATCCACATCTAGACTTCCCATCTCAGAGTCCCTGCGTTTAGGCAGAAAGGATCATTTTGGGGAAAGAGAAAAGAGATCAACCTTCTTGTTAAGAAAAGATGATCATGTGATCCAGCAACTTCACTCCTAGATAAACACATAGAAGAAATGAAAACATATGCTCATGCAAAAACTCTATACAAATGTCATAACGGCGTTATTCACAATAACTAAAAGGTGGAAACAAACTCAGCTGTCCACCAAATCATGAATGAATAAATGAAATATGATGCACCCATACAATGGGAAATTGTTTGACAATAAAAAGGAATGAAGTGCTGATACATGCTAGAGCATGGATGAATACTGAAAACATTACATAGGTGCAAGTAGTCAGTCACACCAGACCACCTACTGAATGCTTCCGTTTATATGGACCATCCAGAATAGACAAATCTGTTGGTTGCCTAGGGCTAAGAGGGTTGGAAGAAATGGGGAATAACTGCTAATTTAGAATATGAAAATTCACTGGATGGAGGGATGGGTAATAAAAATGTTCTAAAATTGATTATAGTAATGGTTGCATAACCCTGTGAATATATATATAAAAAAACAAACCCTGAATTGTGTACTTGGAATGAGTGAATTATATCTCAGGGTATTTTTTTTAAATGATCAATGTAGGAATAAATTAAATTCACATATTACTTGTCTTTAAGGCATAATCAAAGAGCACCAGCTTAAATAAGGCAAAACATGCAAAATATGCCAAAACTGGATCAAAATGTGCATTTGCAATCAGAAAACACCCAGTTAAAGTCATGTTTGTTGATATTTATTTGTCCCCACTTTAATATAGAATCTGTTCACTGCAAAGTTTACTAGTTTAAGAGAAGATATAACAAAGTATAGTGAAAAGTACTAGGTTTTACTGGAAGCACAGTGTGCCTGGTTATATAAACTTTTGTAGGTCACTTAATTCCAGAAGGCAGTGTCTCTAGTTTCACTACTTGCTAATCACCTTATTTCACAGGTGTATTCTTGGCAATTAATGGATAATGTATTATAGTTCACATTTATAGTGGGGCAGGATCTTTAAGCGGCACTGAGGTTTATTCCAGGCATTTACACAGACCTACTGAGCATGATCGGCAGGGTGAACTAAAGCACCCACTTAGGAAATCTTCCTGCTTGAGAGATGCTATGATTACAAAATAAATCTATAAAACTTTGATTCTTTCCAAATGGATGTGCAGTGTTTTAAACTATCTAAAATTAAATGGTGAATTCATATATTTTTCAACTTTAAAGCTGCCTTTTTAAATAGGTCTCAAAAAGGTATAATGATATAAAGGCATGGTGGAGGGGAACAGATAAAAACAATCTAATGGATGAGCCAACTACAATCCCTCTTTGCACTTCATCTTTAAGAATATTGAAACTAATAAATCAGATTTACCAAACCATGATTTTAACATAAAGTAAAATCCTAGTCCTATGTTATTTCAGAACATATTAAAATTCACACTTACCCAGTTGAGTGCATCAAAGTTTTAAGATATTGACCTAATTTTAAGAAAGGGAAATACTAGATGCAAATAAACTACGTTCACTAAACATACTAGGTAGCCCTTCAATTATTTTTGTTTTTGTTTTAAATTCTCTTTATTTTCTCCAATCTTCTACATTATTTGTAACTATAAACTTTTCCTGTCTGTATGATGAGCAGCATGAACCTGGTTTGATTTAGGACCAATACTACTATTTTGATCCACGCTGGTTTGAAAGACATTAGAAATTCTATGAAGCTGTGCCACTTAACTCAGGACTTGTAGCAGTCACGGACAAAACTGTGCCAATCAGAGAACTGAAGACTTTGAAAACCAAACCCAGAAGACCTTGGATTACATAATGATGTGGTATAAACTGGAGAAACTTTAATTTTAGTGTGTGAAAAATCACACGAATAAATTAGTGCAAATAAAACACTGTTTCTGGAATGCAAACTTATTTTTTTTTATTTTGGCTTTTCTCTTTGCACTTCGATACAAAATGTAGAATGTAGAATTCAGCTTCTTAATTGCAACACTTACTAGCTACACTGCAAACTTTTGGCAATTAGTTTCCCTGGAGTACATTCATTATTTAATTTTCTTCCCTGTTTCCTTTCATCTACATAATTTTTATTCTAATAAAATTTAACAAGAGGACTACCCTTTTAACAAACATTTAAGTGTACAGGACAGTACTGTTAACTATAGGCATGGCCTGGCACAGCAGTTCCTATGACTTGTTCACCATGCCTAACTGTATGTGTATTGAATGGCAACTCACCATTTCCTCCTCCAGGCCCTGGCAGCTCTACTCTCCGCCATGAGTGTGACTGCTTTAGAACCTCAGAGGAGCAAGATCACACAGTGTTTTTCCTGCGGCTGGCTTAGTTCACTGAGCATAAATGCCCTCCAGTTTCATCCACACTGTCACATCATAGTGTTTTAAATGATTCACTCTGGTAGAGCAGATGACCTGATAGCAACTGGGCCACACCTGGCTTCATCAGCTGCCTGCTCCTCGGGTGGTCTTGCAGCCAGGACTGTATCCCACCTGGAGATGACTTCCCTGCCCCTGAGGTGAGAATGCTGCTTCGATGTATGGAAACACTGCTTCTTAGGAGTCATGGCCTCCTGGCAGTTCCTCGTAAACTGCGATGGCAGCTGTGCTAGAGGTCATGAATATTACATAAGGGCTGTCCATGCTTTCAAGCCAGAATCTCCAAGCCACGATTCCCATAGCAACACACCGAGATTTTACTCATCTCAGAGATGCAGCAGCCAGCATAAGTATTCTAATGTTACCCTTGATTTTTCAGCAAGATCAACCCAGTACTTCTTTTTCAAAGCACTAATTCTTTAAAAAAACAAACAAAAAGCAACAACAACGAGATATATGTACTACTACTATATGTAGTACTTGAAATAATAAAAAATATACTTTATAGCAAAAAGAGAAAAGAAAACCAAAAACTGTGTTCAAATATGTTCATTTAAAAGTTATGGAGTATCACACACACCAAGATACCTTAAAACGGAACAATAACCTAGGGATGGGGAATGTCCGACCCGAGGGCATAAGGCCTGAGAAATCATTTGTTCTGGCCAAGGCACTAGGAGTGAGTTCATGAATGTTTGACCAAATATAGAAGGCTAATTTTTAGGCTGATAATTTTGTATGGTTCAAAAATGATATTATAAATATCCAAATAGCCCTTGGCCGAAAAACGGTTCCCTACCCCCTGCTTTAGAAATGACTATATGGGAAAAAGAATTCAATACATGACAATTAGTAAAATCTAATAGAGTCTCAGCTAAATTCTGTACTTGCATATTTCATATCTGATTTCCAGTTCCCCTTCCACATACATATGCACTTTATTATTATTGGATAGAAGAAACATTTTCAAATAATAAAATCCTTTGTTGCTTTATTTTTGAAAAACGCAATATGAGCCATTTTTTTTAAATATAAGAAAAATAATATTATAAAGCACTTATGGAGTAAAATTTGGGGGAAAGATTATTCAAATAAATACCACAATAAACATTAACTTGAATAAAGTTTGTTTTTCTGAACAGAGAAGTGGTCTGCTGAAAAATAAGGTAAAATCATTTTAATATTAGATACTGTTTTTTTCTCCTGGTATAATCAGGAATCCTTTCGTGTGTCTAAATGAACCATATACCACGGACACAAGTTGTTTGGATTATACAATAACATGGAACGCAAGACCACTCATATATCACACTTCCTTTTTCTACCAAGGAAAGAAAATAATACCACTTTCTGTACGTCTTTTAAACCAGAAAATGAAATACTGTAAGAACTCAAACACGCCTCCACAGGTGGTCCATCACGGGCCCAGCACCACTGGCGGAGGAAGAGCTCGGCAGGGAAAAGGATCTTACCTTTGCTTTTTCCAACTGTGCCTGGGCCTGCCGCTCTGCTTCTCTGCGCACCGCCTCCCGGTCTTCCTCCAAAGACACATCGGAATCGGATGGACGGCTGGTGTAGGAGTCTGCCGAACCCTGGAAAGGGAAGTTTACGTTTTAAAACAGATCCCATCCATGACGTTTGTGCTGGGAATGTTTCATTGACACTACAGTTAGCTTCCTAGATTTTGCCACAAGTTCCTGAAGAGTGGAGACAAGAATCCACCTCCTGGCACACCATCCAGAAAAAAAGATCACGCTGTGGTCTGCAGACCATTCACTAGGGTAGCTGTGCCTACCAAGTTACCATTCCTTCCCCAGGTTTCTGTTCCAATTAATGTCCCTCCTGGAAAAACAGAACAAGTTCCTTCACGGTCACACCAGCTCCGTGGTGCAGTGCAGAGCTGAAGGGCACAGATGGGTTTCAAGGATAGCTTCAAGAACAATCTGCACGTAGAGCAAGCAGTCGCCCCCAGAAAGAGGGCACTGCTAATAAAACACATCTCCGAAAGGTAAAGGACTTATGAACCCGGACTCTCCAAAACCTCCCTACTGTGAGCTGACTCCACTTTCATCTTAAGCATCCTTTTGCACCTTTGTATTCATTCACCTGATATTTGTATTCATTCAAAACTGTAAAACAACAGCAGTCGGCTCCATACAATCTTTAAGCAACACATTAAAACACACACACACACACACACACACACACACACACACACACAAACCAGACATACAAAAAAACCAAACACCTTTAAATAGATTTAACAAAACCTCTCTGAAGAAAACACCTGCCGGGGATTTATCTCCGTTGGCCAATAAACCATGACACAGGAAAAGGAGCTCAGAAAATGACAGGACTTTGCCTCGCTCCGGCTCTTGCAATCAGGATCATATTACTAAATAAAAGGAGCCCGTGCCAGCACTCACTCCAACACCAGCAAAAGCAAAGGCGAGCCCTGGAGCTTACACAGATGTCCGAGTTCTTCAGCCTTCCTCCCTTGGCTCTTTTCAGAAGCCGGATCCAGGTGGCCTTCATGAGCCAGACCGCGCCTTTCCCCTCCGCAGCGGCAGCCCCGGGCACCGGTCCTCAGCGCGCGCCGAGCCCTGCGGAGCAGCCTCCGCACCGGCCCCAGCCATGCTCCAACCAAGCCCCGTCTCAGTCCCTCTCTGCCTCCAGGCTTTCACTCCCTGCCCCGGAGGAGGACTCCGGTCCGAGGGGATGCGTATTCTCCCATTCCAGATGGGAAACAAACACTCGAACGCTGTAAGCTGCTTTAAAAATGAAGAACACCTCAAGTGCGTTCCAAGGCAGGCACCAACTCGTTCTTAAACTTAATGCATCTTCCTACCCAGAAGAGTCTCTTCCTGCTCCTAGATTGCTAAAGGAAGCTGGTTGCAAGAGAACCTTAAAAAAAAAAAAAAAAAGAAAGAAAGAAAGAAAAAAGAACCCACACACCTAGTGCAAAACGTATGCAGAGACATTTGCAAGTGCAAAGTTCAAGCCTTATCTTCAGAGATCTGGAGGGGGAAGGCGGGCAAGGCACTCACCGCACTGGGCATGCTCCATAGGTAGCCTTTCCAGGCGGATGCTCACATCACCCGCACTCACTGTTCCTCTATGTCCAATTGCCATTTGCATCCGAAGTGTAAACAGCTGGAGAGGGTTCCGGTTCTATAGTAACAGGCACAAGGTCTGTTTGTCATGTTTATGTTTCCGATAAAGCATTCTCTCAAAAAGACAGCATGTGATCTTTTCCTTTAAGGATCCCTTTCCACTAACCTGCTTACAGAAAGTCCGTCCTATGCTACAAGGCAATGCAGAGATAATAGTATATACAATATTGGGCAGCAAAAATCAAATAATGCTCAACAACTGTAATAGCATACTGCTCTTGCTTGCTTGTGACTTCCCAAGCCAGATGCAAGAGAGAAGTTTGCTCAGTTAATTAGGACATGAGAGTAATCACAGCTCCAAGCTATGAGTTTCACCTAGCTCAAAATGACTGTGAAATGCTTCTCCAACTGAGAAACTAACGCTTGAAATAAAGTCACTGGAATACATAACTGCGTGAATTGTTATAACAATAATTATGAAGAAGATTGGTTTATTAGTTTGAGTTAGGAGTCATGAAACAGTTTAGTCCAAATTATTTTTATAAATAAGACAACTGAGGTTTGAGAAGGAAATATATTTAAGTTTTTAATATCCTGTTGTAGTGGAATTACATTTTTAAAGTTTATTTATGAAGACATACACATTTTCAGGTTTCTTAAAGTAAACAAAATTCTATTATTGCCTTCTAAGCTGCATTTTTTTAAAGAGAGTTGCTTGGTAAAGTTTTATGTAAATGAAAGAAATCATTCTTAAGAATTTATCTCTTTTCCTACCTTTCTTTCTTCTTTTATCCTTTCAATTCTGGGCTAAGACCAGTTTTCAGGAGATCAATGTTAGGAAATAGTTTTAGAACAAAAGTAATAGATTGAATGCACCTTAATTTCAGTATAACTACATAAATTGATATTAAAAAGATATATTATTAACAAGTGAATGTAAAATGCATGGAAGATACAAAGTTGATTCCAATTTTTTGTTTAAGTAAAATTCTCAAGGGACATATGAGTCTTTCTACACAGACACACATGCTAAGGGGCTCCCCATTTTCCCAGATCATTCCCTATACTGTAGTGGTCGGCAAACTCATTAGTCAACAGAGCCAAATATCAGCAGTACAACCATTGAAATTTCTTTTGAGGGCCGAAAACCGACTTCTGCACATGGGCCACGAAGTTTCAATTGCACTGATCATGTGCGCTCGCATGTGGTATTTTGTGGAAGAGTCACACTCAGGGGGCCAAAAGCCGCATGTAGTTCACGAGCAGCAGTTTACCGACCTCTGCCCTATAGTATGGGTAGTACAGTAGAAAATTACCAAGATGCCCAATTATGCCCCATAAAAAGCCTCAGAATGGCATTTTAGACCCAATCACCTGCCAAAAGCTCAGGTCACACCTCCTGGAGGACACTCAATTTCTGTCATAAAGAAACCCGTAACAACAGGAAGAGGATTAACACACACAATGCATGTGATCTTTCCCTTTTAAACAAAATAAGATTTTAAAAGTCCTTTGCTAATAACCAGGTGTAGTTTTAATTGCATAGTCATTTTGAGACCTGTTTCCAGGCTTAAACAGCTAAGCGGTTTACAACGAAACAAAACAAAACCCTCTCCATCGACTTTGGCAATTATCTTTTGAATACTGGCGACACTGTATTAACCTTTAACGATTTTACAATATGGAATACGACCATGAACTGTAGCTTATAAACCTTTTAAGTAGAGCGTATAGAAGTCACATTATTTTCACACCTTGTACCTGTAATAGTCTATACTTTAAACATATTTTTCATTACAGAAGTTACAAATCCCATTGTAAAAAGAGGAAGGCACGAATGAGGTCACCTTATGTATCCTCTCACCTAAGAGAGCCGCTATTAAATGGTAGCACGGGGAGCCTCCAGAGTTCCTGTGATTTTGAAAGTCACCCTCTCAACATGTGCATTACAATTAATCTCCTTCCTTCTGGGAGCATGGCTACGTGCAGTTAAAGGTGATATATCTAATTAAGCTTTGCCTTTGGTACCATATGGACTTTCTGGGTCATTCTGCCTCACGTTGTCTTTAGTCAAGAACAGCTGGCAATCATTTCCATTAACTCCAGAGCAGGTTCATTACAAGATGTACCCTTGATCTCTTCCATGTTCTGGCCTTTTGTGGTATTTGTCCTTTCAGGTACATCACATGTTCAGCTACCCACACTTCCTTTTCTGCATCTTAATGTTCTTATTCCTCATTGTACCATCCCAAAATACAACTAGCACCTAATGTCTACCAATAATTCATTCTGAATCTTCTATTTTTATCCTGAGAACTCTCACTCCAAATGTGTGTTCTTTGCTTTTAGGAAATGCTATTTTAATGGGATTAAATTATACTTTTAGGTACTCTTCAACTTCTGTTTTTTTCCACTCTAAACTCTTTTATGTCAAGTATTGGCACAAAAATTATCACCTTTTCCCTTAAGCATTTTTGTTTTGGAATTTATAAGTTGCTTTTTTGATGTTGTACTCTTCCATTTAACAGTCATATATTTCCAGCATCAGTTATCTTCAGCGTGCTCTTGTTTTATCTTTTAAAGCCAAAAAGATGAGAGTTATACACCTATTCAGGATATTTTTGATCCCAAATTGTTCATCTATTTCTGTGCAAAATTTTCAAGTGAAGTCTAAAACAAGGCTCTTAGGCAAAATCAATTTCTAAGAGTATCTAAGGTTACCAAATTCTAGACAAAGCTATGTCCAACCAAAATATGTTAGGCTTCAAACGACCTTCACATGGAGAGGATTATGCTAAATCAGTGGCAAATCTGACTTGTTTCTTCCTGACCTGCCATGGGATAGACAGATATCCATGGCCATTCTGGTCAGATCCACATTTTTAAAGTAAAGCAATATGGGATAGACTTCTGCAAAGAAGGACTGAGGGGAAAGGGTTTGTCTCTTGTATTGTTTGCTTGCAATGGCAGATAATTCTTTCATTTCTCCTACTGTCATCTCTTTCCACACTTCAAAGTAATTACCTTTTTTTTTTTTTTTTTTTTTTTTTTTTTTTTTTCCTGTGAGGAGATTTGGATCTCTCTAAGAAAATGAATTGCTCTTCATGCTTTGTTGGCTTCTTCAGAAACAAAACCACACACTTTCAGGTTGTATGAGCCCCCTATAAATGTTGGAGATTAAACCCTTATCGGAGATAACATTGGCAAATATGTTCTCCCATGCAATGGGCTTTCTTGTTGTTTTGTTGATGGTTTCTTTTGCTGCGCAGAAGCTTTTTATTTTGGTGTAGTCCATTAGTTTATTTTCTCTTTAGTTTCCATTGCCCTAGGAGCAGTATAAACAATCCAATCAAAAAATGGGTAAGGGACCTAAATAGATTCTTTTTGAAAGGGGACATATAAAAGTCCAAGAGACATATGAAAACATGCTCAAAGTCATTAATCATCCAAGAGATGCTTTTTCAAAACAACAATGAGGT